GCGTGGCCGAGTGGTTTGAGCGCCCGACTTGCAATCCGGAGGTCTCGGGTTCAAGTTCCGCTCTGACCATTAGCCAACTGGTCTGCCTCTTCCCAGTTGGGATTTTCAACCATGTTACATGTATGTTCATTTACTTTTTTGATCCCCGCCTCACCTCCGCTGGGGAGCGGTCAATTGAAATATTTTCTATCTTTATTTTATTGTTGCACGCTTCATACCTGCCTTTATTGCCGGAGAACTCTCTCGAGGCCTTAATATGCGAGAAATCTTTGATACAGTACTTAGCAGCTAGTTTATTTAATTTAGAAAGCAAACAATATTTCACTCCACGGACCTTTCCAGAGTTTGTTCACATTCTTTCTTCTCATTGATCTTTCTTTTAGGCTCCAAGTCCAGGTAATACTGCAAGACACACAACACCTCCTTTTCAGAATGATGAACTGTTTGCACCAAAATCCAAAACTGTCGATAAAAGTCTCAAGGGGAATGAGCGTCAATTTTCTCTTCGCAGACGTTGCGAATATAGAAATCGCACAACTTGTTGCTGAATATTAAAAGCAAGTTGTAATCAGACACCCATTACCAACGTTAAAATATAACTATCTGATTTCAATAGCTAGAACACAAAAATTTCCCTGGTCAGATATACAAAAATGTCCCTACTTTTTCCGCCATGAAAAAATTGACCCTTTGCTTTCTTCACGACGTGTGGCTTAACTCTTCTCAATTCCTTCACTTTTGATTTTTATGAATGAACTGGACTGGTTAGAGGGCGAGAAATCTATGCATGACAAAAGAACAAAACAATGAAAACAGTAAAACTTACCACTGTTGCATATACTTCTCGTATTGGTTGGATCAGGTCTTTTACTGATAAATTCTTGCACTGCTCCACCAGGCGCTCGAGTCCTTTGTTCTGGATTTGCAATGACTCGATAGTTTCTTGTAATCGTCCCTCCTCCTGTCTACTTTGCTCGGTAGCGATCTGCAGACATTCAATTACCAATTTCCTGTCTTCTTCCAGCTGTAACTTCTTTTCGATTACCTGAGTCATCATTTGCACTATCTCGTCCACACTGAACAAGCTTAACCATAGCTGCTTCACTTGAATCGGAAGTTCCTTTGTACTCTCCGCAACAGACAGTCCAAATCGACGCTTCTCTTCCTCAGCGTAATCAAGGTCATTTTCAAGAAGTGTCCTATCGCTTTTAAGACTAGCGCAAATTTCTCTCCATGTTTCGAAATTTTTTTCTAACCGTTCCTTTTCACGTCTACTTTTCTCCAGAACCATCTGCAGAGATTCAACTTCCAATTTCTTGTTTTCTTCCAGCTGTAACTTCTCTTCAGTTACTTGTCTCAACCTTCGTTCCTGCTCGTCGGCACTGGACAACCTTTCCTCCAGCTGCTTCACTTGAACCTCAAGTTCCTTTGTTCTCACCGAGCCTTCTTCCCTCGCAACAAGGAATCTTTCCTCGAATTCACACTTCTTTTCCACAGCGGAAACAAGCTCATTCTGAAGCCGTGCCACATCGCTTTCAAGACCAGCGTACTTTTCTCTCCATGTTTCCAGATTTTCTTCTAATCGTTCCTTTTCTCGTGTTCTTTCCTCCAGAGCCATCTGCAAAGAATAGACGTCCAATTTCTTGTTTTCTTCAAGCTGTAACTTCTCTTCGATTACCCGAGTCAACATTCGTTCCTGCTCGTCCACACTGGATAATCTTTGCTTCATCTCTTTCAGTTGAATCTTAAGTTCCTTTGCCCTCACCGAGCCTTCTCCAGTTGCTACAGTCAATCTTTCCTCGAATTGACGCTTGTCGTCCACAGCGGACACGAGCTCATTTTGGAG